GTATAATCGTTGAATAAATCAAATGTGATTTTCAATTGTATGAATAAAATTAAAACTCACAGTTCGACGGGCACTGTCCTAAATGTATAAATAGTAATAATTCATTAGAAACATTGTGATATTAATCAAACAAATGTAATAAATGTAAATGTAACAGAAAATATAGAAATAAATGGATTGAGAGTATAATGTTATAAAGGTAGCAAAGCGTTACAGGTTGAAAGAACATAGGTTCGGTGCAAAACGTTTAGAACTGAGTTCAAAATAAGTTTTGAATTTTGTGTTGAACAGAACAAAATATACCCATACAAGTTTTAAACTCCAAGATGATTTCAAAATAATTGTATTTATTACATACAAAAGGATTTGTATCCTTCAATGCTTTATTTAATTCTTAAATGCAGTTATATATTTCACATGACTGAATTGTTTGTGTATCAGTGTAATTCTGAGAAATAGAAATGTGTTTCTTACAAGGTAAATGTTATCTACTAGGCCTTTTTTACTTAGATTGCCTGTTTGATGAATAAATTATGAATATGAAGATTGTAAATGCTACAGAACACTGCAAGTGCTGAAAACAGAACCATGTTGACACCATGACTTTGTTTTCTCGAACACTCAGAAAACCTTAAAAAATTATCCCCTACCAATATCTTGAATTCTCAGATATCTCAATTTCTTAATCTTGGTCCCATGAAGTTTGAGATAAGGAGTTCTTATTGTGATTTTTATAACAAAAGCGAAACTATGCAGTACAATCAAATACCAATGTAAAAAAAGACAGATACATAAACTTACCATAGCAAAAAGTTATCTAATGTTTAAAATATTTAATCAAATACCCAAATTTCAAATTAACATGTCTAATAAGATGGGGATAGTATTGCAGTCATTTAAAATTAAAATTCTTACCTCCTATTCTGGGAGACGAAAATATTATCGCTATCACGGCAAGTAAATAGTTCATTTCTACAACCTCTCTTAGCAGGTAGAAAACACGCCAGCACTTTTTAATAATATTGAAGTACATACAAAGGATTATGGGATAAATGCCATTGCTTCCGCAGATTGTTAAGGCCTACTACATGTACGAGGAAATAAACGGAATATAAACATGTACATATTATACCTTTTCGAACTGAATTTATTTTGTAAAGCTACTATATTATCACATGACTTTAATATCAATAGAAAAAATATACTTCTATAGTATACCCCACTTTGTATTGAGCTTGGTTTGGTCACGTGATAAATGCATACATTGTGTGTTTTGCAGAGAGGTCATAAAGACATTTCCATTTCGCAAGGACATACACTAGTTAAAATAAAATATTTAAGTGATAAATTGTTTCTGTAGTTTTTGGAGAAGTGCTGCTATTTTAAATATAACTCGCATTTCCTTTATTTAAATTTTAAGATATTTGACTCAAGTTGAAATATGTTAAACCTTCACCTATTATTTTATGTAGGCAGTGTTCAATATTCACGCTCGTCACCTCGTCATGCTGTTCATTACTCTTAGAAAATTTAAAATCGCAATTTAATTTCATTTTCTGTCATTGTGAGGAATCGTTATTTTGTGTGATGTCTTAGTAAACATTTCCTGTATAAATAAGTAACGACCCTATATGTATAGCCTTTACACTGCTACCAGTCAATACAGGAAACATTTAGTTTAGGTGCTTTACTCTGAAAGTGACCTTATATAGCGCTTATTCTCTATCTATAATATGAAACACCGCTAATGCCTTATGTGGATAACATTCATGTTGTAATGATGTTTCTATGTTATAAACTACTACTTTGACTCTGTATGCTGATAAATTTATAAAATGCTGATGCTTTAACATTGTATGCTGATAAGTGAACATTATATTTATATGTTGATACTCTAACATTATATGACGATAGTTTGACGTTACATGCATATGTTAATACATAAGTATATGTAAATACTTTATAAGCATTATATGGTGATTCTTTTGCATGCACTTTATTCTTCTGCAGAATTAAATGCTCGACAATATAGTTTAGGTGAAATATGGAGATAACGAACAGTATTCAAGCACAGTCCATTCAAACAAAACAAATCGGGAGCAAAAAAAACACAGACCTTCAAAAACATCAGATGTGGGATCAGAGGTCTGAACAGAATGTACTGAAAATCAGGAGGCTTTATATGATAAACCACTACTGAAATACGTTTGATTAAAATGTACGCTTTATTGGCTTTTGTGACTAACTATGTTGAGAGAGAGAGAGAGAGAGAGAGAGAGAGAGAGAGAGAGAGAGAGAGAATAATTTTCCTTTACCCTAATATTTGATATTTGATATATGTTCCTTTTTATATTAAATATCTACATGTACAGGTAGCTATCATCTTTTTCAAACTTATTTTACTTTTTTAAAAGAAGTCTCTGCAAAGTTGAACGTGAACGATTGCATTGATTTTATAGATATCATATACTTATTATATACGTAAATCTGTACAGATAATGACACTGGAAGAGCTAAAGATCATTTGTGATTCACCACTACAGGTACTTGTAAACACGACATATGAAATCTTGTTTAACAAATCTAATCAGAAAGTTTCATTTGTACAGACTTCTATTGGACTCTCCTATACATGTAATATGACTGCGAACACCCTAGCAAGGAAGTATGGGTAAGACCCGGTCGCGAGGTCTCGGAACACTTGAAATTAAAAGATACACTTTTGCTTTTGTACCCTTCATCTAGAAAAAAATGGAATATTTGAAGAAATAGTTCGGGTATACAATACATGTAAGATAGTTTCTGTAAATAAAAAAGGGGAAGAGATATATTACATTGACATTCAATTTTAAATTTAGTCTTTGAATGTGGAACCCGACCTGGAAAACCACCAGGTTGCATAGCCAAAAATGGTATCTTACTGTCTACGAAATAGCCAGAGGTGTTAGAATATCAATGGACAGTGCTTTTTTACATTACATTTAATATGAATTACACTACTTTACTTTTTTCAAGAAGTATTTCACTTACAGAATAAATGTTAAAATATTTGTTGGGTGGACTTGACTTTAAATTTGAGATAAAAAGAGATGTGCTTACTTCAAACGCCAAAATATAACCATATATTTTTCTGAAGCTTTAAGGATTTTCTATACTGACAAGACCGATTTGGTTCATACTAGAAGGGTTTTGACTTCACATTGATGCATACACGTAATCAAAGCCACCCACCCTTTCGAAGCACCCTGCACCCGTACCTCAACATCATAATGCATGGCCACAGACGAACTGTCTGACAAGGGCATTCCTGCATAGCAACAACATAATATTCGGTTATCTAAACCGACATAATCAAACCCAATTTAGTATGCATGCAAAAAAAAAAAAAAAAAAAAAAAAAAAAAAAAAAAAAAACTATGTATACTTATATCTGTGCTTCATTTCTTATTATGATGTAGTGCAACTATATATTTTGATTTACTGAATAACATTTTCAACGCAGCGTCAATTGAACAATATAAGATGGCTTATATTGTTTGTTAACATTATAAATATTTAATATTTAATGATCACAGAGGTTTTGAATGTGCACATCTTAAAAGACTATTGAATGAATTATTTATTAATCGAAAATAAAATTATACAAGAAGCATAATGAAGCATTCATAGTGTTTAGAAAATGATAGACAAAATATTTGCCATGATCATGGTCTGCTGAGTTCCTGCAAATAATTTTCTACAGAAATTGCACACCAAATAAAATACTGTAAACCAATTTTTATTCGCCTGCGAGAAATATCCGCCTTCTTTTGCTCGCAAATATTTCTCGTCGCGAACCTTACATTCTATTGTGTATTTTTGTATCATATTTTCTCAGTCGCGGATGGATTTCAGGCAGATGATTCGAAAAAAGAAGATGACGCGAATAATAGTTGGTTGATAGTACCATTCGTTATGGATAACTTTCTTCTGGTGTTTCTTCACTATACTTCACTATACTGCAAAATAAGTTAACCTGGCGACTAACCTTTCAACTCCCATTTGATAAATTCTACTCACTTTTCTGTTACTACATGACATTTAAAAAACATTATTTAACCAAAAGAGTTTGCTTTATAAAGAAAAATAATAGGCATTCCATGTGTCATGTAGAAAAAAATATTTTACACAATCATGTAAATGCTTAAACTTTAAATATTGAAACATCACTTGTAAATCAAATATCCACCTGGCTTCGCCAGATTAACCATCGATAGAATTCGCTTTGAGAACATAAACTAAAACCAAAATACGTTTAATGCCACAGTATTTTTTCATGGACATCTTAGTAAAAACTGCTAGATAAGATAAGATAAGATAATATTTATTTAAAGTCGGGTAAATCAAACAGAAAACATTAGCTCTGAAGAGCTATTTTCCGACTAATCTGTAGATGAGAGCTGTTGGCTATATTTTCCAGTCAATAATAAATCGGAACTTTGACGTTTTTGCCATAGTTATTAAAAAAATCAAATGGTTCCAAATCCCATAAAGTTATTATTCTTCCTCATATTGAAATTACAATTCTTGTATTTTATTCACTGAAATTGTCATGTGCATTTATTTAAAATGGTAAAATCACTGGTATATTGAAATATATCCCAATATTACCCTTGTTAATACCTGATCGTGGTAGTTATTAATTCTAGACGCCCAAAATGTGAAAAGAAAACGATCATGTGTAGATTTAATAAAATATGCTATACATGCAGACAATTAATGTATGATGGTAGATCAAATTAAGTAATTAATAGTTAGTGCAAGTATAAGTTCATTGATACTAAACTATATTTTATAGAAAAAAAGATAGGAACAGGTACGTATAAACATTATTTTTGTTAGGAGATATCCTGACCCCTTTAAATCAAAAAGCTGATTAAGACTGTTTCAATTAAAATTTACATTATTTAAGTTTCCACTTCAGCGTTTGTAAAATTCATCGACATTTTCTCATTTCAACTTTATAAATCTTGGCCTTCTAAAACGCTATTATGATCGACATCCGTATAGACAAGGCAATCTTGATTCTGTCTTTGAACAGGATTCTGTTCATTGTCTCTCTGTGGTTTGTTTACTTGAGCATATACCGCCAAGTCTGAAACGCCCAGGGGTTTATTTTTGGGTTTTGTAAGGATTGCATACACAGGAATTTCTGTCACATTTCCGGTTGTCATTTTATTTTTAACCGGTTTAGCATAAACTGCTGATTCTTGGTCAACACTCCGGATTGTTGGGGACTGAAGATCTATTGTTTGATCTTGTACCGTAGAGTATCCCACCTCGTCCAAAAACTGATTAGAATGATATAAAGGGTTATCCGGTAAATTTCTATCAAATACATAATCATTTCCATGCTCCGTAGTTAGTTCCCCTGTTGGTGGTGTATCTCTTCTTCCCTTGTTTCTCCTCCTTGAAAGTGAACATATTTATCAAAATGCATTTTTTCTTAAGTTTAATCTTTTGAAAATATGAATTAACAATACTAGTTAAAGTTACTGGCAACATTGAAAAAATACATACCGAATCAAACATGCCATTATGAGACTTGATAGGGCAAAAAATATTAGTCCTCCAAATGTTGAACTACCTACTATTACATCTGAAATGTATCAAAAACATAATGTAAACAAAGTGAATCATTATATTGACCAATGCTGTTTTTAACATGTTGCACTCATTATAATTCTTACAGTCTGTTATAATGAAATACGAAGATAACAAACAATTTTTAAGCTCAAAAGTTCATTGAAACTGGTAGCAGAGCAAACTCGAACATCTGAAAAAACATAAGAAGTATCAGATGCAATGGAGGAGTAAGCATCCCTTGTCGACATGTCACATTCGCTATGTGACCATTGTCATAATAGGGCAATTTGAAAAATCCGTAGACAATTCATTGATAAAATAATAGCCTAAAAATTTGTATGTAAACCGTCAATCAGCATTCGACTACAATATTTGTTGAGTTTTGTTATATGAAATACCTCATGGAGTGTTGTGCTTTTGCGTCGCTCTATTATGACGTCACAATCAAAAGCTTTCACTCTCGTTAATGCTCGTTTAACTGCCTCAAACATCATTGCATTAGCCAATCAAAAATCATTATACAAAACAATTGCATTAGAATTCATATATATTTTAAATCCCTTTTTGTCCCTACATTGATCGATATTAAGTTAGTTCTTTACAAGTTACCGACCTGTGACGAAACATACACTTAATGTTCACGTCATAGAAATATGACATTACTTTTTCTCCGCAAGCACTCACGGTACCAGTTTCCCTAAATTTTAGCGTTAATAATTAAGACGTAATATTTTAATTGGATTATAACTTTTCTTATTTTATAAGATTCTAGCAAGTATAAAATAGAAGGGAATTGACATTAAATTGAAGATTATATGTACTTTTGAAAGTGCGTGAAAAATGCATGATTGCGGGGAAACGATATATGCGTGATTTTGCGTTAGAAATAGGAAATGATATATGCGTTAAAATGCGTGACTGCGGGGAAGGGTGTTAAGAGAAACTGGAACTGGAAAAAAAGTTTACAAAAATGCACATTGCTCGAAGGATTAAAGCTTTATAGCAATAAGACATCTGGTCGACCCATGTAATCTTCATATGGGTAGTAAAACATTCAAAGGACTGTGCATGATTGCAGATTGAAACTGAATATTTTTAAGAGTAATGTATCCTTTGTAATAACATAATCAATTGTTTTCAATTTAAATTTATTATGAAAAAATTATCCCTTTTATCATACCTCTAATATTTGAGTGCAATTAAAATGTAACTGCATCATGATGCATCAATATTCGTACCATCAAAGTTAAACAATGATCTCTATCGGTTTGTGGTTGGATATATATTTTTTTTATCAGAGTTGTGTCTCAAGCGATGTCAGGGTTATGTTTGTTTTTTTTTTTTCTCCAATTTTGTTTTTTCCGAAATTGATAAAATAAAATTGTTTGTTTCCGTGATACTTTTTATTGAATTATTTCAAATTCTATATTGTTCTTTAAGTTCTGAATTCACAGGCTCTTATTTACAGGATATCATTAGACCATGGAATACAAAGACCGTATAGTATAAAATCGGAATACACAGAATGGGATGAAAATTTAATCAACATATAAAACATGTAAATATATTTAAATGCTCTCATAAAATGTCCATGTGTGTTTCGAGTTTCGAGTTATTCAATGAAATTAAAATGTTAAAGCGGTCTAGTGCATAAGTTAGCTATTCACTGCAGGCTTTTAATATTTATTTTTGTTATGAAAGGTAGTTAAAATAACAACAGTCATTAATACTTACATTTGAGATTATTTTCATTAAGTTTAGACGTTAATGTTGTGCTTAATATAATGTTTCCATCCTCTTTTGTGGAAAATTCGCATGACTCCATCGTGGGGGTTATCGTCGTTTTTCTGCACATGATTCTTATAATTCCTTTTCCCAGATCTTCATAATAAATGATAAATAATCAGATAAGGAAAAAGTCCTCAACTAGAATTGAAAGACAAAACGCCATAAAATCCAAAAGTACGGAAGCCGGTTGGTGCCAGGTAGAAAAAATATTTTATCTGGCGGCAGCCAGATAAGTTTTTGACCCGCCAAATATATAACTGGCGGCCGCCAGAAACTTATCTGGCGGCCGTCAAATAATTTTCTGGCGGCCGCCAGATTTAAGAAATGAATGTAATATTTTTTTTTTCTTTGACCGACGTATCAAAGAAAAAATTTGGACGGAAAACGTCACCAATGCGCGTAGCGCATTGATGAAAACGTTTTCTGTCCAAATTTTTTCTTTGATACGTCGGTCAAAGAACAAAATGTTACTTTCATTTCTTATCATTTAATTATGATTTTAAAATAATAAAATGAAACTATCCCTCAGTTTACTATAAAATTTACGCATCAAAAACAGTGCGTAGGAATATATCACAACAATGCTGCTGAAATTCAAAATGGCTATAGGCCTAACGAAGAAAGAACGTTCTCAAATATTGTCGTGTCACTACCAACCTTTTCTAACAATAATTAAGTTCTTTAACACAAAAAACTTACCTGTTGTGTTATTAATTTTTTGCTATATCCCAATGGGTATATTTTCCCCGGTAAGCTATCTGGGTTCGTAAATTTAATGCTACTCAGATATCCTAACAACTCTTTCTATAGGTCACAGGAATTTTGAATTTCATTTGCGCATCTCTTCATCTGAATTTCAAACCGAACATATAAATATGTATCACAACCTGTCCATGCTGTGAAATCTGAAAGAGTCTGTTGCCTACTGTTTAACATTGAAAGAATTCCGTCCTCATTCATGCAGCGCCCTTCATGCCGTGTCGTTTTTCTCGATCATTCCATTCCTAAGAATTAACAGATTAACGGCATTTCCCCGCTTTGGTAGCATAAAAACATTTTTTCACAGTTCTATTGTTCATACCAGTTATCTCAAAGTCAAACATTTTACATAGATATGCTGATTTCTTTCCTTCTTTCCCATTACTGTATTGTTGTCATGCAGACGATCTGATTTGTTAAGCAAAGGGGGATAATTCAAAAAGAAACGAAAGTAGACAATAAGTCAGGAACGTAACGGACAAGTTTCGAAATTCAGGAATATATCTATTAGAGAAAAGGTATTCAATTGTTCCTTCATGAACTTCTGGAAGCGGGAAATATACATGCAAAGACAGGCAAAGTAGTTCCGGCTGCTAAGTGCAAGCGAACTCCAAATTCTATTAATGCAGTTATCAAAAGAATTTTTTATCTAATCAGAATCAATTATTTTATAGAAATAAAATGATAAAAAGATCTGGCGCCCGCCAGATAAATAGATCTGGTGGCCGCCATAAGATTAACTGGCGGCCGCCAAAAATTATCTTACGGCCGCCAAATAATTTTCTGGCGGCCGCCAGATAATTATTTGGCGGCCGCCATATAAAATATTTTTCTACCTGGCACTTACCGGCTACCGTACAAAAGCTAGTATCATGAATGCCATATATCTATCTATCTATCTATCTATCTATCTATCTATCTATATATATATATATATATATATATATATATATATATATATATATATATATATATATATATATATATATATATATATATATATATATATATATATATATATATATATTGCTGCTGCTTGGAATATAAAGAGTGTAGGTGTATGACATGGAATATAACTTACTATTTTTGTAATAAACTAAGGAAACATCATAACTTGTGAAATCTACCTTCCAGCTTGTTTCTTTTTTAAATTATGACTAACAATTGGCATTAAAATGTATAAATAGGAAGAATATACATGTAGCATATTTACTATTTACCAGTGATCTTTTGTTGAAATCCCAAGCAGTAGTAAGATTTTCCCTGATTATTTGTGGTAAATTCCAGCTTTACTATCGCTGATTGGCAAGTATTGACTGCAATAGGTAATTGTTGGGGTGAGCAATTAATAGTGTAAAAATTGTTGGAGGAATCTTTTATCTTTATCGATGTGTTACAGGGTTGTCCAATTTTTCCTGAGGAAACTAGCATTTCGCCTTCATAATACGGTATAACACTACATGTACAGGGAGGGGTTATGTTATAAAAATCGATGTAAAGTTCATTTCCTTTTTTCTCTGTCCCATCACAACGCATGATAGACGTATCTGTTACTGAAAAAAATTGTGGTAAATTACATTTTGGCACACTTGGAGAGGAAAAAAGAGGAAATGTAATTTTCAATCATTTAAATGGAATCAGAACTCACGGTTCGATGGGCACTGTCCTAAAATTAAAAGAAAGCAAATATAACGCATTGCTAACGTTGTCATATTAATCACATACGAATGTAATAGATAGAATACAATGAATTAAAACAAACAAACAACAAACGAAAAAAAAAAAAAGAATTTGAGATGACATGCTAAGGAGAGGATATAAAGATAATGAAGAGTTTTTGATGTATAAAAAAAAAAAAAAAAAAAAAAAAAAACCATACGCTTTATTCATACGTATTAAGTAATTTCTTGAACATAAAAGAATCTCATCACGTATACATCTATGAAATTAAAGTATATAACTACAGGAATGAGGTAAATTTGAGTAAATGGAGTATTTTACTGAAGATAAGAGAAATTCTTTATGCATGCATAATGCAAGTGTTCAACTCAAAGATCAATTAGGAATATATGTATAGAAATCAATTAACATATTTTACCTGTATATTTATATTTCATGAAAAGTCTTGAATCATGCAACGATATATTTCACATACTTAATTATGACATTTTTTTTCAATATGCATCTTCCTTAAGTACATTTCTGAGAAAAGCACTGTTTTGCTTTGCTTCCCAAAGAGGTCAGTGTTAACTGATCAGATGGCTTGGGTGCAGACAAATTATGTACTTTTGCAATGAATGTGTACATACTGTGTATGTAATTTACAGCTTAGACAAAATGGTACCTTCCTTATAACCATTCTTTGCAGTTTATTTGGTCTGAAATAAACCAAATTTCCGCATATATGAAATAAAAACTTGTACCTTTAATTAGCAATAAACTTACACAAATAGCAAACGTACACAAACTTAGACAAACAGCTTTTTCGTAAACAAAATCTAAAACATATTCGATAATTCCTCTTTCCAAGCATGAATATGATGAATATATTGAAGATTGAAAATGTAAGTTCTAGCAGAAAGTGCTGAAATATGAATCATATCGACATTAAATATTGACACCAAATAAACTAATGGAAAAATGCAGGTAATGTACTAAAGCATACAACCAAACAATTCAATACAAACAAATACCAGTGGCATAAAAACAGGTTCCTTAGTATGAAATTGCGCGTTTCAAAAATATGTATTGAAGTATGGAATTAGCATGTCATATTACTTGGAAAAGGCATTCCGGTCATTCGAAATCATTTTTCTTACCTTCAATTCTGGGAGACAAAAATGTAATTGTTCCAATAAAAAGGAAACACTTCATGTCTACAACCCCTCTGAACAGGAAGATAAACACTGCAGCACTTTAGAGTTTAAAAAAATAATACAAGAAAGATCGGTTACTTGTCACAACTTGTCAATTCAAGGTACCAACATTCAGCTTAGGTGCATAGATTTAAACGAGACCTTATCTAGCGATTTTTTCCTGCCTATAACCTCATATATTAGTTACAGTTGGTAGATCTTTCCGTGATCCCGATGAATCTTGTGTAATTTATATTTTTTTGAGAAATGTGTTACAGCAACTTTGAGTAAGGAAGCAACTTGGGAAGAACACACTTGGAATTAAAGCATTGCAAAATATCTCGATTCAAAATTACAGACAATTTTTTTCTTCGCTTCTAATTTCATATTTCCAGAACCTGGACTTGTTTGTTTAAAAAAATGTATTACATGAAATTTAAGGATAACGAAGAGCTTTCATGTAAAAAAAAAAAAAGTCCGATCAAAGCAAACACTGACTCTGGATGAGGTACAATGGAGAGGTGAGCATCCCCTGTCAACCACTAACATCACTCCTTGCCCCTTATCATAACCAGGTAAACAATGAAATGTCAATAGAGCTGCATCAAAATTAATCATCTTGAATACTTTAATTTTCACTTATTTAATGGCATGTATGGTATTCCTGCTGAAGTTTGAAATTTCAAATAAAGAACGAAAGACAGAGGTAAATATTAAAATGGTGAATGTTACATAATGACAAAAAAATTTTGCCTTAATCATAAATTAAAGTAAAGATTGAAAATTCAAAAATATTACCCTACTATAAATACGGGTTTTAGTGTTAACAGCATTAACACCGTGTTGGCAGTGTAAAGTTAGCCCTTCGAAATAGGCCTTGCCAGATAGAATCTTTACCTATCTCGTGTTTTATTTGTTAAGCATCCTGAATTTAGATTGGAGGATGGTATATCTGTCTTTTGTCTTTCCACAAGACACATTGTATTTCGAAATATGATCGGGCTGATGTCGATGCACGGCAATGTGTGAAATGAGGATAGGTGCATATTGTGGCCGACAACAATATGTACAAAAGGACAATGTACATCATGTATACCGTCATAGGAGGTATCGACATCTGTCGGATTGATCTACATGAGAAAAAAATGTTTATAGCCAGTTCCTTGTAAGATAACTTAAAAAATATAAGTTATGTACATGTTTCTCATGGATAATTTGGAAAAAAATCCAAATAAATGGACAACAAAAATCTTGATTTTAATTGCATCTGGGAAAAACACTGATGTGATTTTTTTTACCATCTTTTTACATTTCATTAATACTGCCAAGAATATTGTACATTGTTAAGTACATTAAAAAGGACGGATAGTTTTCGTGTATAAATTAACATTTCTTTTATGTTTTTTCTTAAACCCAAACATGTTGGGGGAGTATATATATGTCTTCTCATTTTGAAAATCATGAGCAAAGATTCAAGAAACTCATTTTTTCTGCTGTGCGATATGTAACACAGTATATCTGCTGCAGAACTATTTAGAGACCGAACAATACGGTTTTGTTGAAACTCGAAATTTCTTAATATTGTTTACCTGTAGAAATTAAAGGCCAATTGCGACTACTTTCCAAATGGCCTTAGTTTAAAGTGCTATGAGTCATCTTCTCATTCTTAACAAGCTTTGTTACATTTTTGTTCTTTCACTTCTCAGTTTCAAGTTAAAAAATACAAGTGGCTGATATCTATATCTTTAAATCGTTTGACCTTTGGACTTTTAATTATCTTTTTTTTTTTAAAGAAATGACATGCAGTTTAAAGTTCAGATAAAAAATTTAGCGTTTTCCTGCTAATTTTGACGGATACAAAGATCGACGACTAAATCATAGGAGTAATTTTGCATCGCCTAAGTTAAGGAATGCTTTAAGGACTAGGAAAGATAGATATGTAAAAAAAAAATAACAAGAAACTCTGGTACACATGTTATGGTGTTGATGCATAATCAAATAGCACTTAGAGAAGAAAGAGGAAATTATCTTTCTGTTTCGTAAATTGTTTGATTTTTTGTACAAATAGTTAAACTGAAAGTAAGACAACTCGACTATTGAAAATGCTGCACAGACGGAACATAGTTATCTCTCTTGCATTCTGTACTTATTACCAAGCGATGAATTTTTTAGCAACTACTGCCAAATCGCCAAAGTTAAAAGTAAGCATAAAAAAATCTCAAAAGGCACTTTACCTACTTTCTTTAGACATTGCATCTTTTTGCTTATATAGCTAAAATGTTTTAGCCTAACATGGTTTTGTAACTTTTGTAACTAATTGCACATTTTGGAAATATTTTGTTACCTAAAAAAAAAAGATGCAAAACAAAGCGAAGATGAGTTTAATTATTGTTATAATATTCATTAATGGTATTTATTTAAGCGTTGAATCATTATATTTTGAAAGATATAGTCTCATAACTGCAAAGGTGTGTGCAAACATATTGAGTCAGGCGCGCTAGCAAAAGAAAATTTGTTGCACACAACGTTGCAGTTATGAGACTATATCTTTCAAAATATAATGATTCAATGCTTATATTTACATTTTTGAATCATTATATTTTGAAAGATATAGTCTCATAACTGCAAAGGTGTGTGCAAACATATTGAGTCAGGCGCGCTAGCAAAAGAAAATTTGTTGCACACAACGTTGCAGTTATGAGACTATGTCTTTCAAAATATAATGATTCAATGCTTATATTTACATTTTTGAACTCCTTGCAATGACTGCAAGAATGATTTACACTTCAAAATCCCTGTATTATCCATCGGGTAAGTTACAATTAATGAAAGAGCCATTGCAACAGCTTCTGTTCAATATGAGCGTGAATTTTGATTTTTGCTTATTACGTTGCACTTCAACGGTGTTCAACGTTTGCGATATAAAAAAAACCCGCATATTTTAAATTTTGACCCCCTGTCCGTGTTATGGTGTTTTGAATGCCGTAGCTTTCCTCATACTTTATAAGCAAACTACATGTGGAATGTAAATATTATGTTGCGGCATATCATAATTGATAAAGCGCAGGAGGGTTTATCAAACGAATGTTATTTCTACACTTTTGTTGTCCAAAAAGTCCTGATTCGAACCCAAATCAAAAGATCTGGGATCAAATTAAAAAAAAAAACAAACTTACTTTAACATGGTAACTTGTAGATTAAAAGATATTGGAAAGTACTCTATAGAGAACAGTGCAGAGCTTCAAATAAAGAAATAAATAAATAGAAAACAAGATGTGTTTGTGAAACACTGATGCCCCCGTATGGCAACTTATAGCAAAGGTTAAACTTTCTCAAATGCAAATCAAATATGTTGGTACCCAAAGTTAGGTCTTGTCTCGAAGAATAAACCTGTGAAATATGAAAGCCATAGCAGCAACCATTGAATATATATAGAAAAGGTTATTTTTTTCAAAAGTATGTCAAACATCAAGGTCAAGGTCAAATGTTCAAAATTAATGGTGCTCAAGGAAAGGTCTTCTCCCAAGAAATAAACAGGTGAAATATGAAAGCCGAAGCACCAATCCTTCAAAAGTTATGACCAAGGTTAAACTTTCCGAAAGTATGTCAAACGCCAAGGTCAAGGTCAAAGGGTCAAGGTGTTTGGTATCCAAAGAAACGCCTTGTAAGAAGAATTAATTA